TACATTATGTTCGTGAATTGAAAATGTCTAGAATAAAGTTTACATTAAGTTTGTGATTTGAAAATGTCTAGAATAAAGTTTATATTATGTTTGTGATTTGAAAATGTCTAGAATAAAATTTACATTATGTTTGTAATTTGAAAATGTCTACAATAAAGTTTACATTATGTTTGTAATTTGAAAATGTCTAGAATAAAGTTTACATTATGTTTGTGATTTGAAAATGTCTAGAATAAAGTTTACATTATGTTTGTGATTTGAAAATGTCTAGAATAAAGTTTACATTATGTTTGTGATTTGAAAATGTCTAGAACAAAGTTTACATTATGTTTGTGGTTTGAAAATGTCTAGAATAAAGTTTATTTGTATATTCTCGGTGAGAATAGGTAATTAATAGAAAAAATAATTTTAAACATCAAATATAATATTAAAGACAAAAAATAAACTAAACTTCAAATGTATTTTGTTTTCTTTTCCCGCATCCCTCTTTATTAATTAGTTCATTATTGATCTCATATCAAAGGTACATATGATTTTTATCGCTTACATTAGGCCTATTAGGTTTATTGCTATCGGAGTTGAAAACCATAATTTTAAGCATTATTTGCTACCCTCTTTGTGACACATTGTATTCAGATATGCAGAAGCACGAAAGATATATTTTTTTTTTTGACTAGCCAAATCAAACACATTTCTTATCGGAAGTCCAAAACAATGTATTTATCTTTTAAAAGGGGGAATTTGAAAGAAGGAGAGGGGATGTCAAGGTCTGTTTTATGGAGCCAGACAGAAAACAAACACGTACCACAGTGGACAAACAAATAACATACTCAGTAAAACAATGTTCGACGGCGTGTTAACTCAACAAGCCAGTTTTTCCTTGTTTCCTCACTAGGAGTCTTACTTCACAAGAGGAATCTTAGTTAGGGACTTTCAAAAAATTCTTATATTTCGGGGAAAAAAAACGAACAAGCAAACTAATGAAACAAAAACCTTAATATTATTAAGATTTATGGCACTCTGGATGCAAGAAGAAAACAATGCATGTCGGTAATACTAAAATTGCCATACATCATCAACTTTTTTATACTGACTTTGAAAATGACCATCTTTTTTCTATCATAAATTAGTCCGTAAGTTTTTGTGTTAGTTCAAATATAATATTTGAAACTACGTTTTTGAGGTGCTAAGTAAAATAGATTAAAAAATAAAAGTAAAATTACTTCTAGTTTTAAGATAGAAACTTCACAATATATGTCTTTATTTTACTGTTTAATAGAAGATTCAGTCAGTATATGCACCTCATCAGAGTTGTTGATGGTGGATTTCTGTAAAAATAACGTTTTAATCTCTATGATATATCCCCATTAATACGCGGAACTCCCGAAGCATGTCATGCTTTCTCGGAACCAATGAACTGATTAAAACAAAATCAGCATCACAACCTATGGAACGATAGTATTGATTTCTACATCCCCAGTACTACTAAATTCTGAATATATGTTTTAGTTCCTATATCATGTGATTGCAGAATTTCGCATCAGTTACTATTTTGACCGGAGAACAAATTATTTGAAAACTAAGCTATTATATAAACTTGCGCATGAAGACAATAGTTCGAAAAGGATGAAACTCAATATCAATATTTAAAAAGCTTAAATATTCAATTCAAAAAATCATTTCAAATTCGCCTTAAGGAACATAAAAATTAAAGAAATTTGGGCCTAATGTCAAAAGAGTTTTAACCTGTCATACATTTTACTTCTACTTTCAATTGTGGGTCATCTCTAGTTTCTTATTTATACTTCACGGGTAAAATGTAAAGCTAACAAAGCTTTTGTGAGATCAAGAAAAACATAACTTACATTCTGAAGAAACGTAAAACACAAAATGAGATTCAAGAACCAATTTCAGACTTCACAAAAGGGAATCTTTTAAACGACGTTGACAGTATGAGAATATCTATCCGTATTTAATTAATGAAGTGTGACATGACTGAGTAACACTCTAGAATTAATTAATTAAAAGTTTGGTTACAGTATTTTTTTTCGGTGTCCTTTGAACCATACCTTTTTCGACAAATGATTAGTATGCTAAGGGGTCAATGACTCAAACACTCTTACTGTGACTGTGTTAAGGACATATAGTAGCTCAATAGCGTATTATATATGTGTCGAAACGTTGTTGAAGCAAAACAACTGTTTCGGAAGTTAACTAATTATGTAAGAGTAGTTTATTTCACCGATTGTCACATAAACTGAATGAACACTTGTTTGTTTCTGAATTTGCATGCTATTTTCACTATTTTTGAAGGCAGATAGTCAGTAGCACCCGCCGCCAACTTTGAGCTACTCTTATCTTACCGAAAACTTGGATTTGACCGTCACTCTGTATAGCACACTCACGGTCCAAAAGCGAATAGTGTGTTTTATGACCCCGCATACCATGAACTCTCGCATTCACAGTCCGAGCTGCCACGCCTGGGCCATTAGTAACAAACACTGTATAAGAAATAGATGTATATTTATGAATTACAAAAAAGCCCCCCAGTGGCACAGCGGTATGTCTGCGGACTTCCAACGCTAGAATCCGGGTTTCGATACCCGTGGTGGGCAGAGCACAGATAGCCCATTGTGTAGCTTTGTGCTTAATTACAAACAAACAAAATACAAAAAAAAACAGTCGTGAAGAAACAACGTTTTTCCCGGTAAAAACGTTTCCAGTAAGAAAAAGGAACAAAATTGGTAACACGGTGATAACTCAGGTTATTCTGAAATAAGAAGTACACAGTACTTGTACGAAGCTCCTGTCTCGTACCAAAAATGTTTTCGTTATATGTTCGGAGCATGTAGAAGTCGCGGTATTTTCGGAGCGTGTAAAAGTCGTGATATGTTTGGAACGTGTAAACGTTTTCTGTATTTTGCGATAACATGAATATTATGGATCAATTCCTAGTTTCAAGTTTGTTTACTTATAGTTGTGCTCTGCCCAGCACGGGGATCGAAACCCGGTTTCTAGCGTTGTGAGTCAGCAGACATACCGCTGTACCACTGGGTGGCGTTTGCTTATAGACAGAAAGATAATTAGAATATAAAAATAGTTTTATGCATAATCAAATTATGTTAACAAAATAATAAAGATCACCAAATGAAGTTAGGTTTACACCGCAAATGTATGAACATTACTATGATTACTAATTGAAAAAAAAAAAAAAACGGTAACTCAGAAATAAGGCTTACAATGCTATTATTCAGGTTTCGATACTCGTGGTGGGCACAACACAGGATTTTGTTTGTTTGTGTTTTTTTGTTGTCAAGCGTAAAGAGACATCATAAGCTATCTGCGCTGTGCCCACCATGGGTATAGAATCCCAGTTTTTGCGTTACACAGCACAGACAGCTAATTGTGTAACTTTGTGCACAAAATAAAGATGATTGATAAATTCAGTTTCATAACTTAATAGGTGTTTTGACATATGTCATTCATATACAGTTAACATAACACCCAAATATCTTGACCCGGCATGGCCAGGTGGTTAGGGCGCTCGACTCGCAATCCTAGGGCGACAAACAAACAAACAAACCAAATATCTTACATTATTTAAGACTGTAACAGTGTAACAATTAGAAACGTTTCTTCATATAAACGAAAACGCTTTTCAAATTGTTGTATAAGGTCGATCTTATTCTAAAAATTTCTATTGCATATGTTATTGTTTTTTAACTGTCTCAAACAAAATATAAATAACATCTGAGCTTGGTTTGCTTTGAATTTTGCACAAAACTACACGAGGGCAATTTGCCTTAGTCGTCCCTAATTTAGCAGTGACAGACTAGAGGTTGAAATGGCGAGCATGTTCGGTGACGGGGATTCGAACCCACAACCCACAGACTGCGAGTCGAGTGCCATGGCAGGCCCCACACCTGCAATTGACTACATGTGTAATATCTGGAATAATATCCTTCTTTAGCTCATTAATTGTTCTTTCATTCGACAAGGCATGATTATTTTCTCATATATAATTCAGCAAACGAATAGTTGTTTTCCTAACATTTTACCCTTAGTAAATTGCAGCTTTCCCAAGCTTATAATCCTGATAAATACTTTAAAATAAAATTTAAGTTAAACAGAATGCCATCGAAATGGCAGTAAATCTAAAGTACATTTAATTAGCTTGGAACAACTCACATACCGATAATAATTATCAGTCTCAAATTTCCACCTAACCTGTTTGTAACATAAACAGTATTTTTATTAGATGGGTTAACTACACCATAAACTGAGACGCTGTGTAACAATAGTTGTATTCATGTTGTGTATTCACTATTGTTTTGGAGATAACTGTCCTTGAGTCAGATTAAGAGTTTAAAAACGACGGTAATTGTTTTATCTCCGGACTGGGAGATATAAATACACAGACTTTCACATTTCTTAGAGCGCAAACAGTTTTCAATAATGCATTTGTTTTTCTCGTGAAGATAAAGAACAAGTTTTGGATTGATTCTTACAAACACACACACACACACATAATTTAAACTAGGTGAAAGTAAGTCGATGGTAACAGAGATAAGCATTGCCTGTTTATTTAGGCTGTGGCTATGCATGCTTATTATTTTATTCACACGATATCTCGAGAAAAGAACGTGATAGACTAAACGTGACAGATGATATTATATGGTATAGAAATAACTCCATAGATATGAAATCAATTTAAGGTAATGTGATGAAATTTGCCCAATTTGGAAGCAATATTTCGAACTGCTTTCTAAGGTTTTCACTGGAAACTAGGTTTCTCCCAAATGAGTCATTATCAACCACCTAAATATTCTTTTAAACAATTTCTTTAAGTGAGAAAATACGTAGACTGTTATGTTTTATATGTTTGTGAAGAATTATGGGTGTTGCTGGTTCCACGTGTCTTTAGATGACTTTAATCTAATATATTAAAAAACAGGTACAAGGGGATGACCTACTTGTTGACAAAATACGGGGGTACTTACCTTCAGAAGACTGTGCAGGTACATTAGCAGCAAGGCAGCAACTGGGCAAAACCTATATCCAAAAACAAAATAACAAAGAATAAAGGTTGTAATGTCTGACCTACCTTACAATAATTGAATGGATTAGTCACTTTCAGATCTTAAAATGTAAAAATGTTACGTAAGAAACAAAACTGTTTAAATCAAACGTTTCAAATGCTACAATGATTTTACTAAATTACAGAATTACTAGAAAAATAAAGAGAGTTTCAGAAATGTGCATTAAAGAAACTGTATTAAAACACTGGATTTTTTTGTATAGTTTAGATTAAAGTTCATATTCGAATGTTCACCTGTTAATTTCACCTATTGTTGTAACTGAAATTTAATACCAACACAAGTAGAAAAGAGGTACTGTAATAAAAAGAAGCATGATTTTTATTAAAATGTCTACTCAAATTTGGAAGATCTGTTTGATTAATGTTCTTCTAAATTATTTTTGTATAGGATTATTAAAGCTTAAATAAAATTTCGTAGTTTATATGATGTGTCATATTAGAGACAGAATAATAATTTTGACTATATAAACGCGTAATAGTTTCTAACAAAAGATCAGCTGAAAGTTTTGACGACTGTAAAATTATTGTATGAAATCTTTAACACTAATATTACATCTATATTACAGCTGTAGCATTATACAATAATGTCAGGCTTCTTCCTTAGTCTATTGTTATCCAAACTAGGCATCTTGTAATCAGTCATGACCTTTGAAACGGAAGTGATTGATAATTCAGCCTGTGCTATATAGCTGTCTTCTTTACAGTCTTATCTCAATTGTCACTTTGGAGTGAATCACAAAGGTTAAATTAATCCATATTTTACATGAACTGTGGCAGAGAAAACATCTGGTTATTTTACGTCATCAACAATACAAGTAGACGACAGCTATCTGTTGGTTCTGTATCGGAGTATGTATCGTACGATACTTGCTCCGAGACAGAATCAGGTGTTCGTAGACGCAACTAGATATCAGTGTACCTTGGGTAGAGACTTTACAAGTCGTCCCGTATTGTAGGTGCCCAGTGAAGTGTATTCAGCTCATAGCAAAGCACAAAATAGTTCTCCTGCAGTGATTCAAAAATAAACGGCCAGTAAGCTAATCTCGCGTGGAGCAATATTCTTCTTTTTCACAGATGAGTCGCAGCTAGGTAAAAGAAGTACACTCATATGGTAAAAATCTGGAGTTAGATTTCACACTCATTTAGATTAATACAAGTTTACTTAAGTGAATTAGTCTATAGTGAATTATTCAATGTGGTTCTACTGTTAAAAGATCCGTTTTTATTATGAGACATACTGTTTCTCTATTGATTTTTCCTCTTTCTTCTTCCAAACATTTTTCAATCGACAGCCATTCCATCATTTCTCGGCGGATTGACTTGAAATTTGGTCGAATATGCCTAAAAACCTTATTGTTTCTTTATTTAGGCCTTTTTAAGGATTTTATGGAGTCAAAAGTGAAAAAGCCCAAAAATATATATATTTTGAGCTCCTGTGCGGTCATATTTACAACAACCAAGATACGAACTGGCACAAATATAAAGTTTCATGCGCCCAACACAATGACGTACAGAAATGTTGGATATGTCCATATGAAGTCTTTTTACGGAGATCAGAGCTCAGAAAAAGGCATAATTTTGGAGTTTTTGGTAATATTTATTTTGGCCTTATTTTGACAAATTTACATAGGATTTGGTAAAAAGATACTTTTCTACAGGTCCTACACATTTACAAACAAAACAGGTGGAGTTTCCCATTTCTAGTAATTATAGAAGGGATCAAGATGCCACAAAAGCATGATTGTGGCTTTTGGCAGTAACTCTCCCGCATTTCGGCAAATTTACATGGGATTTGGTTCAAAGATACATTTTTACAGGTCTCATATACACACACACAAAAGTGTGGGATTGGCCCATTTTCAGTCATTTTAGGGAGTGAAAAGCTTAAATAAACCCATACTTTTAGGGATTTTAGTCAATTACTTAACCTTGTTTCAACCAATTTACATTGAATTTAGTACAAAGATATTCTTTGCAAATCCCAAATACAAATATGGACAATTTTAGAATTTTTCAGCGAGGAAAGCACAATTTGGGGTTTTCGTGAAGTATTCATGTGTATGTCGTTCCTGGGTGGGACAGCGGTAAGTCTTCGAATTTTCAATGCTAAAATCTGAAGTTCGATTCCCTTGGTGGACACAGCCCGATATGATTTGCTTTAAGAAAACACACAAACACACATTATTGTGTATGTCAACCATCTTACATGGGATTTGGTACAAAAATACCTTCTTACAAGTCCAAAGCAATGATATAAACAATTTTCGATTTATCTGGTGTCAAAATTAGCCATGTTGGGATTGCGTGGCGGACACATGTTGTATTCGCGCACGAATGTTGGCCTCTTTAATTTCTATTGTATCGTACAATCTAAGTTGATACTGAATAAAAAATCGCTTTTAGTTGCTTTTATTTTGTTATATTGATTGCTATTGATTTTTAACATACATTCTAGGAATACAAATTGGTCTTCTTTCAATTAACACGAATAATAAAGGTTATTATTGTCTACGTCAAAGCTTAATCCTCCTCAACCAGATATTACGGTAGAAAAGTCGTATTATTTATCATAGCTATGACAACTACTTTGGAGATAACAGAAGTTTTGAGTTATAAGCATATTTGGTTTGTTACTTCTATCTCTGTTGAAAACTACGTCAGAAGCTGGCCTAGTCGCTAGCGTGCCGGTCTATGGGTCCGCGGGTTCATCTCTCGCTTCCCTTTATCCTCCCCCCCCCCGCAGTTTGGGGCTGTGGGTACGTTATAAGGGTGACTGTCAAATCCCTAATTTCGGTTAGAGAACAGTAACCTAAGTGTTGACGGTGAGTGTTGTTGACTAACAGCCTTTCCTCTACTCTATCAGTTCAAAAAGCTCAAACGTAGAACAACTAGCGTAGATGGCCCTTGAGTAGCTTTGCGCAAAGATCCAAAAACAAACAAACCAATGAATGGAAGCCAGCCAACACAGCAAGCTGTTGTAATTCAATTCCAAGCGTTTCGATTCTTAATAGAATGTATTACTGCTTCCAAACCAATTGTGCAATTGATCGGTCGTTTAGATAAGACACACCATCATCCATAACCCAAGCAGATAAAAAAAAAGTAAAGTTAGGGCTATCATCGTGAGAACATTCATTCCTAATCCTCTTCAATTGAACAGTACAATAGACAAGTTGCATTATTTATTATAACTATAATTCTTTTGGTTTAGAATTTCGCGCAAAGCTACACGAGGGCTATCTGCGCTAGCCGTCCCTAATTTAGCAGTGTAACACTAGAGGAAAGGCAGCTAGTCATCACCACCCACCGCCAACTCTTGGGCTACTCTTTTACCAACGAATAGTGGGATTGACCGTCACATTATAACGCCTCCACGGCTGAAAGGGCGAGCATGTTTTGGCGGGACGGGGATTCGAACCCACGACCCTCAGATTGCGAGTCGAGCGCCCTATCCACCTGACCATACCGGGCGAACTCGCTCTGCTGTTGTGATTAGAAATTTTCTCAATAACTACAATTTGTATTGTAATTGATTTGTTCTTGAATTTAAAAAGAGCACAGATTGTTAACGATGGTTTACCTGTTGTTGTTTTTAGCGCTAAGCTACACAATGGACTATCTGCACTTTGTATACTGTAAGGAATCGAACCCCAGATTTTAGCGTTGAAAATCCGTAAACTTACTGCCGACCCACCGAGACGAACAGCTTTGAAATAGTATATGTGTGAAAAAAAAATAGTAAGAGTGTCCTACAATTCCCTAAAAATAATTTTCATTATATTATGTTTAAATTCAAGAGTTTTGAAAAAAAAAACTTAATTTTGATTATTCGAGGCAAGTGGTTAATTTCCATTTTGCTTATTATCTAATTTGCATTCTTACATGCACGTAGCAAATATAATAAAACTAATTATATTGCAATAAATCACTGTCTTTATTGACAAGGCTGGTAAACTACGCCTTTTCATATGAGTGAATATAAGACTCAGGATTCCTTGTCCTGGCTTGATGCCAAATTCGAACACTAAGTCATGTACGAACACTCTGAGGAACTATTGTTGTGGGATCCAACCACACTACAACAAGTACACACACTAAAAAAAAGGCATTATCCGCACAAAACTGCTGTCTTGGAGGAACAGAAATAGACTGAAACAACTCAGTCTTTATATTCTGGTCTTCTTAACATGCGGTCAATTGTTTTTATTTTTTCAAGATTTCGAGAAACTATAAAGAGGGGAAGGCAACAAAATGGTTAAAAATCTAAACATGAACTTAATCCGTAGATAACAAAAAACAACGGCTTGCACTTATGTCAGTTTGCCAAATTAAGTAAGTTTTTTTTTAGAATTCTAGAGATAACATTAATAGCCGGTCCGTCTGATTTTGAAATTAAACAAATCTGTTTTTCTTTAATGTACATCACGATTCAGGCGGATACCACAATTTAACAGTAAATTTGTTAACCACTTACACAAAGAACAGTGTACACAATATTACACATATTGGCTTGTTATTACAGATAGTTTAAAAACATCAAATTATGACTACTTTTCTTACGTCTTCTAAAGGAAGACGATAATAGATATTCGCAGTATAGGTAGGCATGCTTTTCCCATTCGTTTCTCTTTATTTATATATTTAAACACAGAATCTCGAAGATAATCTAAGTGAAATAAAGTTAACTTATTGCAACATACCAAAAATTATTGGAATGATCAGGCATGAAGGTAGAAACCAAAACCAAATATTTCGATTCTTCTTCCATCGTGTTCCTTTTTTTTTTCTTTTTTCATTTTCACATTTATTAGAATGAAGTCGAGGTTCTCGTTTAAACTTTGTTCTTCGTTTGTTATGGATTTCGCGAAAAGCTATACGAAGGTTATCTGCGCTAGCCGTCCCTAATTTAGCAGTGGGAAGGCAGCTAGTCATCACCACCCGCCGCCAACTTTTG